TTTTAAAGTAAGTCTCTAGGTACTGCAATCCTAGCAGGCAGGAGTGGCTGGACAAATGTATACCACACTGCATTCCTACTCAGGGTATCCTGGGAAATATATAGAATTCTGGGCTCTCTACAAACAGGTAACCTATGGATGACACACATAGATAGTGCTTGCTTGTAAGTATTACATGTAAAATCAGTTATATCTGAGGGAAAGCACATACCAAAATGTTTTTCTTTGAAGCATGGCAACTTGGATAATATAACTGTGCCGAAATGGGAACTCTAAGAACATATATTTTTCAGTGCATATAGTCAACCTACTCAGCTGTCATAATTCTAGGAAGCAAACTAGACATTTCCAAATGTATGGACTAGTGCATTTGTTACTTCCTACAGTATTCCTGGATGCTACAGCAACACATCTTAGACAGTGAATTGGTATGAGACTGTGGGGTTTTATGTAGTTTTGTCATTACTCCGATGACAACCCACTTCTTCGGAACAGTTTGTTGGTCCTGAAAAGGACCGTAGTTGCTGAGATGTTTGATCAGTGAGGTAGCGCGGCGCGCACCGGTAGGGAGAGAGGTTAGTTGCGGTGGTTTGACTGGCCACAGCGCGGCCGTTGCTGGAGGTTGCTTGATCACCGTGTGGCAGGTGAGTTGAAGTTGCGTGGTTGCGCAGCGCGGTCGCAGGAGCCATGAGGCAGTGGCTACGCCAGATGCCCAGTGGGTCGGACAGGGTCACGACCACTGGCAAGTCCAGGCGAGGTGCCCCAGTGCGTCGGGTGTGAGAGCTGGAGGGCCGAGGCGATCGTGCCTGGCGCAGCCTGCCGATGCCTCCGAAGACCGACACTGGCAACGAAGCCTAGTGGCTGATGTTGCTTGAGTGTGGCTTGATCGTAGACTGAAGTCAGACTGATCTGCCGGTTTGCGGCTGCTCCTTTTTATACACTGCTCAGTGGGCGGAGCAAAACTTGAAATTGAGGAGGAAGAATTTGCAGCGCGCTGATTGGATAGCGCGCGATGATGTAGATGCAGGGCTAGCAGCGAGCGCAGTATAAATGCAAACGTTTGGAGCAATTTGATTGGTTAGCTCACGTGATGGTGAAAAGTGATGTGAAGAGTGTGCGTTGCAGAAAATGTGTGATAATGTGGGATGTTCCCACAAGACTATTGGCATAGGCAAGGAGGTGAGGTTCTGTCCTCAATTGCTATGTCACCAAACTGGCACATCTTGCCACATAACTTCATTGAACTTCCTGTCTCCAACAAAGATAATGTTCAGAATTTTAAATGTTGCAGCATAACTCCATGGTGATGCTATCTCCGCTTACAAAATTTCATTTTGTTGCCCACAAGATTGCATTGAAGCTGAACAAGTTTCAAACATTGAATTAAGTAGCTAGTCAAGAAGGTAAAGTGACACATCTTGCCAACTAATTTCTTTGGACTTCAGATCCAGTATGAAAATGATGTTCAACATTATAAAAGGGCCTTACACCTCCATAGTAATGCTAATATCTGGCTATAAAATCGCCATTTTGTTTCCAGTTGCCTTCAGCCTGTTCCTCGAAAATGGCTGAATTTATATCCTGGTACTATGATAGTAGAGGAGGTCCCAGCTACCCTCTATTGCTCTAGTCGGCAAAGTGGCACATCTTGCCAGCTATGTTCTTTCAAATTCCATGGCCATTTGTTCCCACCCCCATCACGTGATTGCTCATAGAATACAGACATATAATATTCGCCATTTTGTTCCCATCACCATCGTGATTGGACAATGTAGCGTACAATGACCAAGCGTAACGTGGGGAGCAAAATGGTACGTTGACTAGCAACAAAATGGCCGATATTATGTATCTCCATGGTAATCCTAATACCCGGTTACAAAGTTGCCATTTTGTTTCCAGTTTCCATAAGCCCATTCTTTGAAAAAGTGAATTTATATCCAGGTACTAGGGTGGTCAAGGAGGTATCAGCGGCCGTCTGGTGTCCGATTCGCCAAGCGAATCTTCTGTTGCCATTTTCTGACAAGATTTGACGTTGAATAGCAGCATTCGCCATTTTGTTCTGCCCCCATCCCACGATTGGATGATGTAGTGTCCAAATTTTCAAGAATTTTAGAAGTGCATGATACCTCTTTGGTCATGCTGACCAAGCGGCTGTGGTGTGAAGCTCACCACTCATCTCCAACTAGTGCCAAGGTCAAAAATGCATGGGTCTATAAATCCAATGCCCCATACATCTTCATGGCATAGTGATTAATTTATTAAGCACAGGGACAACTTTACCTTTTCTAATACAATCAGTACCACACAAAAATACCATAACTCATTTAAACAAATTACTGTACATATTAGAACAACTGAAATATTTTCAAATTCCATTAAACCATTCTGTTTGTCTGAAATCTTTTGTTTTTATTTCCTTCTGAATTTGTGGTGAAAATTTTAATAAAACTGTATCATAGCCATATTGTTATTACATATATGAATTCCATATTTGGCAGAAACATGCCAACATTTAGAATTCTAAAATTTAGTCTTGCTGCTGTGTTCAATCCAACTTTTAGAACTTAATATTAACTGTCAGGTCTCATAGTCTGTTACTAATTATCACTTATAAATATGAATATTTTGCCTGTCTTTCTTTTTATTATGTGTATTTTTATTTCCAATCAGAACGAAGATAAGAAACGTGAGACTGTGAACTATTAACAACAAACTTTTCTACTCCAAACACATTTAAGAGTCATATCAAAAATGAAGACCAAAAACTAAGGACAGAGGTTGTGATAAAATGCTGGCTGATGAAATCTATTGCACATTTAAGAGGCAATAATAGATGAATACAGGTCATTAAAACAATTAATACTGGGGGGGTGGGTCAAAATACACTTATAAAAATGTGCCTCATTGCCACTTTGCCCATCACAAGTTGAACATGAACTGGTTATTGGGCCTCTGCAGTGGGACATGAACAGCCATTGCAGCAATTCCATGATGAATTTGTAATACATCTTTATACATGATTCTCCTTAATTTATTTTTAATGTAGAAAATATTTATGGAAGCTTTTTATGACAAAATGAAAGCAGTTATTAGTGGGTATGTTCATATCATTCTTATAACAGGCAAAAATGATCAGACAACTAATGTGAAAGTCCCATATCATCCTGTCTGGGGTTCACTGTTTAATTAAGGGGAATGGTATAAATTTACTTCAGTCTCTGTTAATTTTGCTTCAAATATTCTGCAGTAATACGTTTGTAGACAGAATATTTCAGATAAATACCTTAGTTTTTCTCCAGTCATTATTTCTTTACAACTTACTATTATTCAAATCAAACAATAATTTAACACAAGTCATAAAATAAGAAATCATCACTCTTGCAATGTAGACTTGTCAAATTATCAGCCATGACTGATATTAAAAATAATGGACAGGACATTCCTTGAAATGCCAGAGTTTAATTTCATACTGACACAGTTGATTGTCTGAGACAATGTCACTGAATTTAATCAAGACATTTAGATTTCCTTTCATAATTCTCACTTGCATGGAAAAATTCCAGAAAACAGTTTGCATACATTCTGTAAAAACATTTATTTACATGGCAAAATATTTCTTTAAATATGTACCAACAATTATTGTTGATTAGGAATTTATTACATACATATTATGCACAGCAAATACTTTGAAATTCACGTTTAATATAAGCTTAGATAAGACAGACTTTCTGCTTATGTTTCCTGTGGTTCCATCAGAAATTGTTATCCTGAAGATTAACTTAATTATTTCAACCATCAACTATTTATTATAATTCTTGTAGTAACATATTGTCACGTGTTGGAGGCAGAGCCAGACATGTATGTACGAACGAGACAGTTGGGATCCAGCCACAGGCAGAGACAGTTGGAAGATAGCTGTTGCAGAATGCATTTGAAGTGATACTATTTGTATTCGAGTGTGCAAGAATGGATGTGTTCGCTAAATCCAAGGGCTACGCGAAGTTACTTGTTGCGTGACATACCCAACTCATGACAATATATTACAAAATACAGCACCCTCCTCCCCATTACAGAATGGATCTGTTCTCAAAAATGTGTCCATATAACGAAATTTCATAATGAAACGCCTATTTTTCCATTAACTCCCATGTTCTGGGTGGATATGTGTTCCTACAGAAATTTCTCTGGTCCATAGTTGTAATAAAAACACAGTTTAATATTAGGTACAGACTATATAGATACAATTACAATTAAAACTATTTGGACTGGAATCTGCTTGCCCCTTTCCAGACATTTTACATAAGAGTAATACTCAGCAGAACCTTAAAGAAAATGGGAAAAGCAACAACATTAGCAGTCAGTCACCTACATTATTGATGCATGCCCATGGGACAGCCCAAACTAGCTACTTATCCTCCTGTATCCCCCAGCAAATTCACATCACTTAAAAATTACTTCTTAAAAAAAAAAAGATTAATTTGGGGTGAAAATGTTTATATTTATCCTAAATTTCTGTAAGGGCAAATATATGGTCTGTGTCATTAATTTTATGGTCCCACTTTATAATTTCCATAAGAACAAAATTCCATAACCTGAACGCTTGTAACAATGGAAGGGGGGATGGGGGGACAGTGTTTATTAAATCAAAAGAACTAATTTGAATTTATTATACAGCTAGAGACAAACTGTAGTTATTAACCTTCTTGCTGCTGGTGAGTGAGACAAGGAGCAGGTTGTGTTGGGTCTGATATTATAGGCTGTGGCTAATGACCAGGTGATGATGTCCTATTGCATGTATTTCAGGAGATGTCACTAGTATGCATAATATTAGACCAACATTTTCATCTGCTTACCTCGGTCACAAACCTTCTCTTCTATTCAGTAAACTTTTACCCCTTCTTCCTCAAAGAATAATAACAGAACCTCTACAATTGGGCTTGACTTTAAGGTTGAAGATAACAGTCTTCTGCAAAGTGACACTTTATACTTTGGTAGATTTTGGAGGAACCTGATGCCTTCACTTTCAGGACAGACGAGAAGCCAAAGTACATGGCCTGACATCACAAAAATACAGCAGTCTTCATAGTCACTGCCATGAGAATCTCGAATCTTATGCAGTAAAAAGGTTAATTTAAATATAAAGAACCATCTTGGACACAAACAAACAACATCCCAAAAAACTTGTAAATATCTGCAGTGAGAAAGTTATGCCATTCAACAAGCATTCAAGAAAGATACAACTGGACAACTGATATAAATTAGATATTGTACCAATATTACTTGCATACACCATACCTTGAAGTAACAGGGTAATTTAAAGTAACATTTTTATTTTTAAATGTACAATGGCAACACTGAATAAGCATTTAAAAAGTAATGTTCAAGTTGTTATTGAAGAAGGAAAACAGTAAATAGCTGAAGGTGGAAAGATAAATCTTCATATCCTCTTTTGCTATGCTGAACATCATACTGCTGGGTCATTCTTTAAGAAGAGTGTGACAGAAATGGAACAATCAGTAATTTTATAAGACATCAGGAGCAAACTATGGTCAATGTGCTAGGTTAAATGTGGGGAGATCATCTATACCAATTATCATTGCATTTTGTTATAACATGAACATTTCTTACTGAAATAAACAAAAAAGTAATAAGAGTAGAATACTATTAATAAAATTCTTAAGTCATAATATGAGAAAATGGTTAACAAATGCAAATAGAAGATGTTAAGTATACTGCTTCCATTTTCAGGGTCAAAGAGCAAGCCAAGCAAGCAATTAGCCAGACATAGGCTTGCTCAGCTTATTCTTTGACCCTGAAAATGGAGGAAGTAATATTCCTCAGAAATGTTCATGAACTTGTACTGGTCTACACGGCACAAGTTCCCAGAATACAGCATTCCTCATAGCAATGGCTATGAGAGGCTCAAATCCAACATCTTCCTGTTTGTTTCCATTTCTATCATGTCAAGTACAGAAATATATAAATCCATCAATGTTGATGTGAGAGAGAATTCTATATGTAGACATTTGACAATATTATCTTCAGCTCTGTCTTCAGTTATCATTAACCTCTTGTGTACAAACGAGCATGACTAGCAATTGTAGTGGAAGGCCAAAAAGCTACCCACTCATACTGACTCATAGAATGACCACCCTGTTGGTCATTGAAACATAATTCTGAGGCCACTCATGAGCTATGATTTTGCAGAAAAATAAAGTTATCACTTAAGGTCTGGATTGCTCTCCCTTCACGTTGTGGTTGGAACAGCCTGTTGCCAGCAGTCCAAGAGAACAGAGCATTATGTCAATGACCAAGTTGGGAATAAATCTAAGATCTCTGACTTCATGGATAGGGCTCATGGATATTAAGAGGGGATCAGTATAGAGGGGTTTGGATCTAGCAAAGTTTGAGGCTCCTTAAGAGCCCAAAGAATTCCGGGGGAATGCAATGGACCCAGTGGGGGTCTGGATGCTTGGGGTTAATGAAGTTCTCGATGTTAGTACTCATATGGGCCAGTTTCATATTCTGGACTTCTGGGTTATGACATCATGTAGCCTGACAGCTAAGTACCGATGTTTCATAAAGTCAAATGCCTTCCATCTCATCCTGAATCTCCCTTCTGTTGAATGAAACTGCACTAGATCCCTTGCCTATAACAACTTTCTCCATCTTTTACCCAGATGATAGAGGCAGTAAAATATTGGTACTCACTTACCAAACTAAACACTATCACAAAATAGAAGACCACAATATTAATGATGACCACCTCATAAACTTCAAATTGTCTGGACAACTGGGGTTCAATTCTCAAAAGTAGTAAGGATTTCCCTGTTTGCCACCATGTCTATACTACCCCATTTACTCTCCAGTGGGTACTGGAGGCTCATTCACTAGGGATATGTGGCCAGAGCATGAAGCTGATAATTCTATCTAGTGTAAACTTCAACTACCTTCTATATGCCTTATGCACAAGGAAACTTCACTTCCTTTAAGTTGTACACAAGGGTTTAATCAATATGGTTTTTATTCTGTACCAAAATATGTAGAGCAAATTACTTTTAGCTTGAAGTATAAATAACCTCTATGACTGCATTTTTGTAATACACATATCATCAAAAGACATACCAGTTTCTTTATATCACGATTTAGTAGCTATATTACAATAAAAGTATGAAATGAAAAATATTATAAATTTTATCCAGAGATATTCAACCTCTCCTTTTACGTGCTACATTGATATTTTGGCGCTAACACATCAAACTGCAAATTGACAAACATTTGAAGGCAAATAACTTGAATAAATGGACTTCAGATTCAAGTTTTCATGCACTCTCATAAAATGCTATTATATAATACTATATATGAATTTGCATTCTAATTTGATGCTTGAGAAAAATAACATGATTGTTTTGAAGACTGAGAGGTTTGGACCAATGTCCCAGGACAGACATATAGGGTGCTTATTGGCATCCTTACTAATCCAGTCAGAAAGATTCCATGGAGCTGCAGTCCAAGGATACCAGCACATGTACATATATAAATGAAGTGTTGTCACTATGAGTTGCTAATTCGTAACTTCTGTTTCTTCACAAAATCTTGAGCCATCTTATCACCAGTACGAGTCTCCAAAGTTTGAAGAATTGGATGATCTGAAGTAAACAAAATGGAAACTCTCAGCTCCAGAGTAACTTGGGGTTGAGAAGAGGATAGAGACATGGACAAACAGATGTGATTACACTATCATTTCTTAAAAAAACAAGGAAGGGAAGTTAAGAAAAAGCCCCATAAATATCTTGAATATGAATACACCAATCTTTCAATCTATCAGGAATTTCAAGATACATAAGGATTGAAATTTCTAAAGCATGTAATAGGCTACTTTTATTAGGTGGAGTAAAGCATGGACCAAAGGAGGAAATGTATTTTATGAAGTTTATAGTATATATAAATATTTGAGAACATAAAAGAAATAAAGAAATAATGATAGAATTACAAATTTGAGCAATAACGTTTTATAGAGCAGTATGGAAGAATAAAATTATTGTGTTTGCGGACATTATCCATTGTCCTGTATTTTATTTAAAACACACAAAATTTTGGAGACCAGATTCTGTCTCCATCTTCAGATGTATTATAATCGATTATGTGTGAACATTTTGTTTTTATGTTGGTACCACACAAAGAATTTGTCTCTTTAGTGATGACTTTTATTTTGATAGTGCTCTGATTTTAAGAACAACAAGCCACGAAATAGTGCATGGACATAAGTGCTAAGCTTCATACTTGTGGAGTTTTTTTTGGTATGTTTTGATGTTGGTCTTAACTCTTGTAGATGGTTTGTGCTGTGCTTGGTTTATATATCTTGTGTTGGTGCTGATGTCTGGAGGTAGACTATATTGATTGGGTCCATATGAGTGGGTTTCACTTGAAGACTGAGATAGAATCTGTTCTCCAAAACGTAGTCTGTTTAATTGAAAAACAGGAAGATGGATAATGTCCAGAAAAACAATAACCATATTAATATATCATTGTCACAAACTTTTGGAAATATGGAAGAAACTGAATAGATTAAGTTAAAAGCAAGGACTCTGATAGGATTCCCTCCTAGAATTATAAGACCATGGTTCAGACATATAATCTGTGAGGTGCAATATCATGAGGGGTATATGGGGATTAAGGGGGTAGGGGAGAAAAGTGTTATGAACTATTCATTTTCCTTTAAGAAACTAAATAAATTCTTCTGCCTGCAATGACAATTTAATGCTGATTATCAGTAAAATGAGTTCTATTATATTCAACTTTCTATTAATTACTTATGACCATCATCATCATTTTTGTTTTATTTTTCCCATTATACCTACTCTGTACTAAGTATGAAAAAGATAATCTTAATAAAAGGCCACAGCATTAATAACTGTAACAATGATTGACACAGTAGCATGATAGCAAGTTTTAAATGATCCAATAATATAATTTTGATACTATCAACTTACTCCTATTTAATACTTAGTAATACCTCTACAATGCTATGAACTTACTCCTGTTTTTCTGGTGCATGAGACAAAGGTCCACTGTTTTCAGGCCATGAAAATTGTCTATGCTTGTATTGTTGTCATCGACACCTGGGATGTTGTGAAGTGACAGAAATGCCTCACCAGCAAAGTCATTGGCTGTCAGAACATCATGGTCCATCACTGTGAATAGGATCATTGCTCCATCGGACTTACATTGTTCTGACGTCACTGAACTGCAATGGTACATTATACCACACGTCAATTAGACTGTTGACTGCTAATTCACTGTCATTTTGTCATCAAAATGTTAATTAAATTATTCTTTAATTAATTAATTGGTGCTTAATTAATTTAGAACAGGGAAAAGGAGTAGTACTTAAACCATATTTCACAATTGAAACTATACATCTATCCTGCAGTTAATGTTCTGGATTTCAATTAAATATTCATCTGAAGCTGATATCCAAATCCCTGTTTTAAATTAATATTTAAATCAAATGCTGTTGTGTCTAGTAAGAATTCTACTTCACAGAAAATTACTTTATACTTGAAGTATTTCTTTTTGGATAGTTCATTTTGGCCCTTTTTATTTCTCTTGGTATCTGTGCTGTTGTTATGTGTCCTGTTATATTTATGAAGAAGCAAACCTATTAGTTAAATTGCAAGCTATACTAATTTTATTACAATCTTCTTCTTTAAATTCCTCCTGATTTTCTAACACATAAAGTTGCCCACCTGTAGTGTGTTCCATCTCTAGCTGCATGCATTAAGCTTCAAACCATTTATTCCAAGAAATTTGAAATATGAACACAAAAATTAATAATGTGACATACTTGCTCCATGCAAGAGTGGTTGAGACACAGAAACAGCTGTTTCTAAGTAATACACATGCAACAATGGAACAATGGGGTTATGCAACCTGCTTCTAGGCAATGGCTTGGTAAAAACACTTCCACACAGGAGCAATGATACCACATCCCAACAGTGCTTAGCTATCATGTGACTAGTGGTTTCTATGTGGTCTGTGTTATGCAACAGTAGAACTGTGTTTTCTGCTTTGTCCATGCCGCAGCTATATAACACAAGTCCGCTTGTAGCTGAGAAGAGTCAAGAGTCCAGAGTCCAGAAGAGTTCTTAGTTGAGTTCTGAGGTTCCAGGGAGATTGAACAAGAAATGGCAAGAAGACTTCATAGTGATTTGAAGTTCTAGTTTCTGTGTTGAGATCTATTTCCAGGAGTTGACTAGTGAATATGGAGAATCCTAGTGTGTGTGTAAATCTGCAACAGCACTGTATTAACTGTAATTAAGAGAGACTGTAAATGAATTGCCAATAAATCCAATCATCTGAAACAGAACTCATAATTTTTGTCATGTGTACCTGCTTACATGCGACAATAATATTCTGCAGCACCGTATTCAGAACAGCTACACACAGCACCAAAGCAAAAGCAACACATCAACAAAATAAACACCAGACACACAACACATAATAACAAATGATTTTAAAATATTTTATAAGTAGTTCACACATTTAAAATGGAAAGTGTAGCACCATGACAACAGGGCAGCAGTTTCTTCTACCACTTTTATGCCTCATGATGGCTACTTGGGCCAAAACATGCAGTGTTCGAACACTAGAAAGAGATTAATATTTCTGAAGTGTGAATTATAATGCATCAATGAAGTTGCACAGGGGCAGTGAGAAGTGCCAGTGGTAACTGTGGTAACCATGGTACTCAGTTACATATTGGATAAACATGTTCAGCAGGACCAGTAAGCTGGTACATTTGTTCCTTTTGCTGATTTATATACTTACAATTCAAAACACTCATCAAACATCGGATTCAATGTTTTCTTCTGCACATTAGTTCGCTGTTCAGAACAATGTGGAAAGACTTTCCTTGGTAACAGCTCAATGATCACAAAAGGGTCACTAAAACCTATGAAAAACAATAGAGATCATTTTTAATTATCTTCAATGATAATTAGACTTTTTGGTCCTTGATCGTTTCAGGGCACAAATTACAAGTGTGGGACTGTGCACCCAGAAGTGTACATATGTTTTATAAATGTACTGTTTGGAACTCTGCATACATCTACAGTCATGATGTTAATTTATTGCAGACATAAATACTTTTCTTTGTTTCATTCACCATACCAATTTTGTACTTCATTTCTCTGATAGAAATAAGTAAAACAGATATTCAGCTAATCATTGGGCTCAAAGAACATAACTTTTGGTTACAAATACAATGTTTGGTTCCATCACTCGTCATATCATCCCCTGATGATGGTGACATAAATGTTGAATACTGACTCCATGTTCACATTGCTGATTGCCCAAGAAGATTGTACTGCATACAGTTGCCATGAAAGCTTCAAATCATGCACTTCAAATTTGTAATGGTGGGCAACATTCAAATTTATTGTTAATAAAATTGTCTACAAATGGATGGATATATTTTCTTTCTATTATTTTTCGTTGAGCACTTTATTTTATTATTTCTTTTTCATTGGCTCTACAGGCCCCTTTGGGCTCTGGCCCATGATTTTCAGTTTCATGATTATTTTATAGACATAAACACAGAATAGACATATACATGTACCAAACATCCATGCCTTGTGTGGGATTCGAACCCATGATCCCAGCTTTCTAGCGAGTGAAGACAGTACATGCCTTAGATCGCTCAGCTACTCAGGTTGGCCACTTTATTTTATTGGGAATGGGTACATTTTAGAGAGTGAAATCTTCTAACACAGATATGACAGAATATTAATATTTCTTCTTTGTTTAAATCTTCTTTCCAATCATGTTGCACATTTGTGGCAGAAACAAACATTAAATTTGTTATGATATTAGGATATGTGTAGCGTTATGAAGCATGAATTTATGCCATCGTTAAGTATGCACCATAGTTTGCTGTTAAAATAACAACATAAATTTCTTTATCACCATTCCCAAGTATGTGAAGCAGTGCACTTACCATTGGGATCCAAAGGAATAACATCCCTTGCATTGAGAACCTCGACACACAAAGAGTCATGGTTGAAGTATGCCCGGACTGAGAGAACCCCATACTCTGTAACTTCTGTACTGAGCTGATCCTGAAGACGCTGTTGATAGTACAGTGATATGAGATGTTCTGTATCAGTCTTATGATACTGCAATCTCTGCTCCACGCTCCAGTACGTCACTGCAATCAGATGCGAAGCATATGAACTATTAACATTTACACATTGTGTGAAACATGATTGAAATTCTATAGTAAACAGGGTTGTAATTAATTGTTCCGTCTGCATTTCTATTTGTGGTCATTGCAATTTTAATTTTACAGTTTGATTCTGATGCAGAAATATATCCCTATAAGACCATGCTTTATAAAACGTTCAGTGATAACTAATACAGGAATCGTTTTAGGCAGTCATTAAACTTACGATCTATAAGTGTGATAAATTGTTGAAAATATCTGTCTCACCTGTCTTTAGGGACTCCATTGACAAGCCCTTCTGATCAGCATGAAAGAAGTCCACTAGAATCTCCAGGGCCTCATACAAACGTTCGTAGAACATTGACATTTTCTCCTGTTGGAGACAAAGATTTTTATTAAAGAATATTTCTCATACTAAGAAAGTTCTATTTACTTATCTTTGTTCTTTCTAATACCTTTGTAATACCTGTACCTCCTGTTCAACTTACAATATTTTGAAAATATTTCCCCACACTCATACACCTGACTTTTTCCTTTCCCAAATGTTTTTAAATGTACACTGATAATGAAGTAACTTTCACATCTTATTCTGTCTTCCTCCTAATGATTTATCTTTCTATGTACCATATATTTTGAATAACACAAGAGAACCATCCAAAAAGTAGTGTTTCTTGTAAGTTTTCTTTAAGAAGTTTCCTTAGGAGAATATGATGTTTTACAATAAATAAATAAAAATATATTTACAAGTAAATCACCACATAGAAACATCAGCACATACAAGTACTAAGGACCTTCAACTGATTACAGTGACTTAGCAATCTGTCTATAAATGCGATAAAATTAATGTCATGAACACACAGATTTCAGTTCCCACTTAAGCAGTCATGTGTGAATTATGCATGTGAGGCTTCAAGAACTGGTGCAGTCTGCTTATCCACTGCTCACATCGCTAAATTTGTTCTAAGAAAGTATTCATGCATGCTTTCTAATTACTCTAATTTAGGTACTAACCTGCTTAGGATTTATAGAATGTAAATAAATTCAATTCAATTCCCTCTTCTATGAAGAATCAATTTCCTATGAATTCTGCAAATTAAAGTTCTTACAACATGGCTCTCTGCAACTTCTTACTGTTTGACTCCTTCATATCAGAAACCGCTGTGCTCCCTGGCAGACATTACTGGGCATCTGGGTAGCTCACTCCTTTAACCTAACTAGAAAATCTGTTTACCAAAATCCAGACAGATATTTATCCAATTATATTCCCGCCTTACCCCAGCATTCCCATCCATTTGCTGCCCCAGTTCAAGCAACGAGACATCCCATACATCAGCAAGGACTCGTTCAAAATTGCGAGGCAGGAGGGCAGCATTAAGGTTGACTAAATGTGCATCAAGGTATTCCAACAAGGGGGAGATCGCATCAGGTGTTGGTAGAGAATCAGGTGACCATGCCAGATGGAACATCGCTTTCTTAAGCGCAGGTCTCATCTGAGAATATCAGTAAAGCATAAGATACAGTATGCAAAATATTTTTAATAAACATCCTTATCAAAATTATTTACATAATGACCACTAATATCTTTAGTTGCTAGCATACCTCATGATATCTAAACAATTAATCGTTATTATAAAAAATAAAACAATTCCGTCCAGTGGGATTGGATGGAATTGTTTATTTTTTTATAATATTGTTAGTGTGACGGACCAGAATGAAACATATCAAATTAATCATCACTTTATTTAATAATATCGGTCATATATCATCAAGATTTCATAAATAATAACATGAAAAAATTTACAGAAGGCACTATTCCTTTAAATAAGAATGCTGTGGTGACTACTAGTCAAATAAATAGGGAGTGACATGACAAAGATGAAGATCCGTTTATCTTTGATTTGCTTAATGATGCTGTATATATTTCACATGGTAGCATTATTATTAAATAATAATATGGAAAGGATATGTAAGGGAGTGGTTATGACCTAATTAATAGGACTATCCTGGCATGTGCCTGAGGGGCACAAGGAGAGGCACAAAAATCCTCAGTCAGGGCTGCTTTTCTCTGGGGTGCGATTCAAACTAGGAAACTACAAGACAGTGATGAAGATCCTGTTTCAACAGAAGTTCTTGCTACAACAGCCATAGGAACGATATAGTGCAAAATATGTGACACAGTAGTGTAGCCAATGAGGTGAGAGATAGTGCTCATTCATTCTTGTATTAAACAATGACAGCAATTCAACAGAAGATGTTATATAACACTGAATACAGTGAAAATCATCATGATTGTTGAACTGCTAGGATATGAACACTACTTTCATGGCCTGCTTCTAGGTACTATTGCACCATTCACCCTGAAGAGCTTAGGAATGTCCCAAACCCTCTGTCAGGGCAGCCAAGATTCAACTACCCTAAAGATTGAGGCAGCAGATTCATCCAAAAAGTTAAAACAAATCTACCAAACTACACGGCATCTCATCCAAGAAGGCGGTATCTCCAAAAACGTAGCCTTCTTCGTGACAAGTGGTGACTCACCTTAGCAGCCACCTTGTTGATAACCTGAAGTGCTCTTGCTTCTAGCTGGTTGATGGCACCCTCTAGCATGGCATATAGAGCCTGCCTCCACTGCTGTCTGCCTGCATCCCCAATTGCCGCTTCCACTGCCTCCAAAACAGTCTCCACGTGCAGCTCAGCTCCCAGAACCGACAACGAGCGGCGCACGTACTCCAAGTCATTCACTGTCACGCACATCTGTAGCACCATACCATTCATTGTACAATGCACACATAATCTCATCCTCCATCTGCACTCCATCATTCACTCATGTATTCATACTTATTCCCTGCATATTGCTCTGCTTGCTCTGAGCTGCAGTATGTATTGTAACATTATAATATTATGTATCACTGCATGGGACTACAGAAACAGCACAAATGAACTAAATGACTGCATAGGGCAGCACGACTGTAGGGACAACAAATTTCACAAACTCTATTTTTTTAATCATTTTGGCTTTTTATTGAAAGAAAGTTAATTCCTGTTAATCTTTCATTCACATCAATGTGACCATTAATTATCAGTAATATAAACATATCATGCAACTATTAAATAAAACTGTTTTAAGAATTATGCCATCAATGACCATTTTTGTCACAGTATCTGAAAATCTTCTTTTATATTATTAATTATATATCTATTTGGGCTGTGTGCTAGCTATAAAAGGGAGTTCATTTGTGCATTCAAGGCAGTCAAGAGATTCTTCGTAGAGATTCATCAGACAGATGTCATTCAGAAGGAGTTCGTATAATTGGTTGTAATTGAAAAGAAGTGCCAATAAATCCAAATCATCATATCCAGAACCCATTATTATTCATCACACAGACCCCCAATACATGACATTTCATGCCCTTAATTCAGAAATGAAAATTCCAGGTTTATAGAAGCACAAACAGACCTCATCACTGATTTTGAATGGTGCTGTGTCCTCATAGTATCCAGAGTCCTGCAGCTTCTGGTGAGTCAGGTCTGCATAATACACAGCAGCACTGGTAATACACTGAAAGTACCGGTAATATTATACATAAATAAAAATGTATATTAACAATTTCATAGCCATATTTGTATCTATATAGTTAAAACTTTCTTACACCAATATTTGAATTGACTGAAAAAGAAATCTTGAGAATAAGTTTAGAATATCTCAGCTGTATGATTTCTCTCAGTATGTTACTCTTGCATAATTTAATTTTACAAAATGTATTTATATGTATACAAAATTTATTTACTTATGTATATTTATGTATACAAAATTGTATTTATTAAGTACTGTCTTTTCCTCACATCAATAATCTTCAGCACAAAATTGTAGGAGCCAACAAGGTCAGGCCAGGCCAGCTGCCTCCAGAACTCTTTGATCTGGTGGAAACAAGCTGTAGCATCAACAGCCAGAGTGCTGTGTTTTACAATCAGGTCACCTGTACACACCCTGTTGAGCTCTGCTGCCTTGTGAATGCGGTGAACAGCCTACAAGAAACAATAACCTTTCCTTTTAAACTACACAAACATTCTTTAACAGAGCAATTAAAGAAATCATATATTTTAATTGCTGGGTAATTCAATAAAGAAATACCAATAATTATAACTCACTCAATAATTTACCAATAAAAATGAAATTTGGTTAGCACATTCCTTGGAAGCTATGGTGAAAATTGTATCAGAAAAGCTGCTGAAATTGGTATCCTATGCCTGGAGACAATCCATGTCCCAGGATCTTAATCTTTGTGTCTTCTTTTACTCTACTGATATGTTACACAAATTTGTATTTTGTGGTTAAGTGGACAAGTCATTCAGTTGATGCCTTAATGATTGCTTTACTGCTCCCCTACCTGGCCAAACACACAGACAAACCTTGAACTTGGCCACATCTAGCCACCTATCAACAGCTGGTTCAAACCATTCATAGTAGAGGTTGATAGCAAGCGCCTTCTGGTCTGGAACTGGCAAGTGTTCCCGGAAACTGGAACACATATCAAATTGTTCCTGTTCACTACAGAGTATGTTTCAATGTATTTCACTTAATATCACAAAAGTAAAATCAGTTATAAAAGTTTCAAACATTGGTTTAATGTCATCATCAGGGCATTTTGATATGATTTTGTAAATTGTCTGGATAGAAATGTATACAATATGAATCTAACTTCACATCAAACAAACGGACACTTACTGTATGAAGCCAATCATATGAAGGTTAGTGATAAGGAATAATTTTATCTCACAGACCCCATAGAGTATGTACAAATTCTGTCCACATGATATGATTAAGCATGTGATTAATCAGTGAAAGACTGTTGCTGCAACATTATCCAGATATGAATGCTTATGTAACATTTAACTGTGATAAACTTAAAGCAGAAACATACACTGGAGGTCTTAAAAATGGATTGCTGTTCATGAAACCATGGCAAATAAATTACAGGAGTACCTATGCTTCTTATTTCAATATGAATTATGTTTCAACAACTGCTGTAAAATCACATCATTTTACTGCCAAGTTATCCATTTACATTTAGTTTCTGTGGAACAGTGATATATGTATGTATGTATGTATATATATATATATGTGTGTGTGTGTGTGTGTTGGTGTCTCATCACCAAAATGCTGGGCAAAATCATGATATAAAGACAGTAAACAGATGTTTTGAAAATGTGGCACAATTCAGATATTTGGGAACAACGATAACAGATCGAAACCTGATTCAGGAGGAAATTAAGGGGAGATCGAACTNACTGAAGAGAGATGAAGTGACAGGAGATTGGAGATAACTGCATAATGAGGAGCTTCATAACTTTCACTCTTCTCCAAGTACAATTAGAATGATCAGGTCAAGGAGGATGAGGTGGGCAGGGCATGTAGCACGAATGGGGGAGACGAGGAATGTGTATAGGATATTAGTGGGAAAGCCAGAAGAAAAGAGACCACTGGGAAGACCAAGGTGTAGGTGGGTGGACAATATAAAAATGGATCTTAGAGAGATAGGATGAGATGGTATTGATTGGAGTGATGTGGCTCAGGATAGGGACCAGTGAAGGGCTCTTGTGAACATGGTAATGAACCTTCGGGTTCCATAAAATGCTGAGAAATTCTTGAGTAGCTGCAGAATTGGCAGCTCCTTCAGAAAGGCTCAGGTCCATGAGTAAGTAAGGAACAGTGATATACAATGCAATAATGGTTTTGTTTTGGTACATTCTGTATTCGATGAATTAGGGGAAAATTAGCGCTAATCACAGGCTATCAACTGGAAATCAGGAGGTTGTGCATTCTGCCATGTTTTAACAAACTTCTGTGGCATCTCACAACAAATGCCAAGATTCATCTGGCTCAGGGTAGCGACCAGTTGCAGACTTGTGAACATGGTAATGAATCTTTGGGTTCCATAAAAGAGAGGGGATTTGACTAATTATGTGATTGTCAGTTTCCCAAGAAGATCTTTATTTCACCGCGTTAATTTAATTTGTTAGTTGGCAGCAAGTATACCAACCTGACCATTTCTTGCATGGCAAGATACAACTCAAAAATGGGTGTTGCCACTTCAGCTTCTTGAGGGAGGGTCACATCTTCTACCATAGCCCCAAGATCCATTGACTGCATTTGAATGCAGAGAGCTGTCACCTGTGGTCCAATGTCTCCATCAATCTGCATCATCAATAAAAAATAATGTTAAACAGTATTTCCCATAACACATTACATGAATAGTAGAGACTTGTGTGCAGTATTGCTTGCATTAATAATAGTTAACGGTTAAGTTACATGCAAAATATTGTTGAAATTCAAGCCAATGCATTCTAGAAGAGGAAAGCACAGAATCTTTATCAAGTCCATAATTAAACAGGACAGAAGGATACATTCATTTATTTTATTACATTAGATTTTACTTCAGTCTGAAAGATGTATAAATGAAATTATGTTATAGTTACATTGTATTTATAGGGTTGTATACATGTAAGGACTGACTGTACCAACACTAATTCAATGTAGGTTTTCAATAAAATGCAACTTATTTGTCTCTAAAGAGGAAAGAAGTGAGAACAATTTGTTTCTCTTAATTAAAGCACAGAAACAAATAACGAAATTTGTTACAGCCATGTGTAGGCACGGTGTTTTATTCCCTTACACATAAACAATATTGAAGGAATGAAAAATTTTGTGAGAAAGAAATTCCTACCAAAGTTCTCATTCAACAATGTAGTAATGATTTATCCGTCCTTATGAAGTATAGACTCTACATATCTGAATTTCATTTTCTTTAAAATTTAGAATAGAAAAAAGTAAGAAATTGTTCTCTTTAATTTTACTGAGACACTTTCATTTTATATTGGTTTCATTAAATAATTTAAAATTGATGGAAAACACTAGTTGGCCAGTCTTGATTGAATATATTAATTGTAGTAAATTTACATAACCCTTATTACTTTTAATGCACCCTCAAACCCCAAATAGAAAGCTACCAGCTTTAATTTCATACAAAAGATAAACGATAAAACTAGTGATTGTGTATATACTGTGTCTTTCTTATGTGGCTGCATGCGTTGTATTGCTGGATGTATGTGCTTGACACACACGTCCAGCAATACAATGCACGCAGCCACATAAGAAAGACACATCATAAGACACGGTATACTTGTATACACAATTAAAACATAAGAACGACTCCCATAGCGGATGAATGGCATTACACACGAGTTTGATATACGACATGTAAGATGATAGATCTTAACAAGTTTTAATATATAAATTTTATTATTGAACAACATCAAACACACATTTTACATCATTTTATAAATGGACAATTGATGGCAGGCAGTGCAATGGTTTAACATGATTGATACACCTGAGGATGGCAGAATGATGCCGAAATATGTAGTGTGAAGCGACAAGTGAAATTGTATGCACTAAAAGACGGTAAATATATACACATTATGGATACGAATCAGTGCAACAGGACGCTAAAATACAGCAAAACTGTAGTTATGTTGAAGAATGCCGTCTTCTGGGATTTGGCGCCGTGTAGATATTGTGTTAACCGACATTTTGGAGGAACGTATCAGCTCCATCTTCAGGGTATAAGAAGACGGCATTGTTCATAGTTACTGCAGTGAAAACCTCAGTTCTTACTTATGTAGGTATGTTACTGGGTAATTATATTTCTTCTCAGAATAAAATTTATAATAATTCAAATAACTCACATTCCGGGCATGCAAGTGAAAAAAGCACAGCTACCTTTCACAGTATGAAGTAAGAATAGCTCTTTCCCATGCGCAATTTATATCAGCTTTTTATTCCTGAACCCACAGATCTTACAAACATTTTTCATTTACACATTTTCAATTTGGATTTCTATAATAATCTTGGTTAGTTCAAGTATAGGTGGGGGCAAGGATTTTCACTTCTCTATGCCTGGGTCCCACCCAGCCTCCTATCCAGTGGGTACCAGGGGGGGGGGGAAAGCGGCCGGAGCGTAAAGCTTACCACTCACCTCCAACTAGTGCCGAGGTCAAGAAAACATTGGTCTATACATCCACTCCAACTTGCATCTTCAGGGCACAGTGCTCAATTAGTTAAACACAGGGTCAAGTTTACCTTTACCTTAGTAATCTTTGTGAGACCTTCAAGCTAAAGTTATATCTGGGAACATCACATGGTTGTATCAGTATTGCAATATTGTGTTTGTCTTTGCTCAACGTTGACGTGTATTCAATAAACAGCCAACTCCCTAAATACAGTGTATAACTTTCTTTTTGTGGTATAAATATCTCTGAATACTGAAGTAGAAAGAAGCCATGGCCTAATCAAGGTACTATCTAGTGTTGAGCCCATTTCATTAGTTATTAGGGATAATTTTTGTAAGATTGTGTGTTTAGGTTGAAATGTTAGACGGCTGGCCGGAAGGCAAGGAGACAGAACCGCGGCTGACTCTTCGCATTCCTTGGCAGTCGATCGAATTGTTTTTAGAAAAGACTGTTTAAGCATCAGCGGAAAGACCCGGTCAGGTTTCGCTTAGCGCGACAAGGCATGTCCGGCAAGATGCCGACCTCAGGGATTTCGCACACGCAGCTTTCGCAATTGAAAAAAATCTGAATCTTGGAATTGAGAAAAGAGGCCGTTTCAGGCACTCTGTTTCTAGCAGTTGCCAGAAACGAACGAGAAAAAGCAAAGTGTGCCTGCGGAAGACCTTGGGATGGCGCCATTGCTCTTCCTGTGCTTCATGTTTAGCGCGGGTGAGTACTTGTCTGTGGTCGGGTCACTGATGGCTTAGTAGAACTTTTGGGTTACATTATTTTGGTGGTTTAATGTGTTTTAGACGGTAAAGGTGTATAAGTGTTTCAATTTTATTATATATATTTCATTTTTGTTGTTGTTTGGACAACTCGAGTTTTTGTGACCCTCCTAGTGAAGCATGCTTTCCATAACGTAGGTTAAGAGATATCCACGGACGTCCGATAGGGGGTGAGTACAGTCCATGCCCCCTATCAGGGCACAACACTAGGCATTTGCCTGGATGGAGTGATGAAAATCATGAAAAGTCTCAGTCGGGACAGCCGACTTCCTGGCTGAGATTTGAACTGAGCACCTACCAAATACAAATCTTGTGCTTTGTCACTGCATCAACCTGCTCAGTACTGTATATATCACATTTATTTACAACCACAGACAATGCTCAATCTAACATTATATAAAATAAGCTTTCATGGCAAGTATATGCAATTAAATCTCCTCGGGTAGCCAGCCATCTCAAGATGGAATGGATTTCAATTTCAGGAACTGTCACTGTCATCATCTTCATCAGGGATCAATCAGTGCCAACAGTGAAAGAGTAACAGTTTCCAAAACACTGGAGAACTGCTTATTCCAAAATATTTGCAGGTTATCTTCAGAACTAGCGACAGTCCCCTCCATTTTCCACCTGACAGAGTGTCATGCCACAGTTATGTAACTAAGTTAATTTAAAAAAATTTAATTGAGGTTTATGATTGAAGCAGAATTCAATTTCCCCATTGAAATTTAAATCATTCAAGATTAATAATGCATTAAAATAGTGCTTCATTAATGCTTCTATATGTCAGACTGAGTTATCAAACTGAATATGTGTACCCTCTGCCATCCCAACTGAAACATATCAGTTTCTTTTATTTATTCAGTTCCATTCTGAATACCAACTCCAAATACATTCACATTATTATCTGTGAAAGATTGAATTTTAGCAATAGATTCAAAGAATGTAAGTTGAACAAGTAAATGCTCAAGAAGATGCCTGTAGCATCTGAATATTGGTATAAATACTTACAAAGGAAAGACCAGCTGTGCAGATTTTTCAGTATGTGCAGAATACAGCAGTGGAATGTTTAATGCATTACAATCCAGTACTGAAGGGAAGGTAATGTAACACTCCACAAAATATGATACCACCAAACTCTTGAGAACTATTTATATAAAAAGGTTCGATGCCAAAGAGATGTGGGAGCTGGCAGAGAGGGGCAAGCCAGACATCTGGGCCCCCAGCCCAAGATATTTGGAAGAAAGAAAATCGAAATGGAAACAAAAAGGCATAAAAATATTAATTTAAGAATTAATGTTCTTTTTTAATATTTATTCTTCTCCAGTGAATACTCCAGGGCATCAATATATATAGTCTTAAGTGGCTTAAATGTAAGCCTCTAAGTGCTCTGTTTCTACAGTTGGTTATGCCACTGAGTTATGTTCAGGTTTTCTTAACTGCTTAACAAACTGAGAGAGCAGTTCTGTTTATTTTCATTTAAATACTGAAGAGTCTGAAATTTCTCCAGCTAGTGCTGAGGTCAAGAAAATGTGGACCTACACATCCACTCTGCCATACACCTTCATGGCGTAGTGCTTAATTAGTTAAGCACAGGGACAACTTTACCTTACACTGCAGCCTGATACACAGCGAAAAGTAAAGATTTGGCTTCATGTTGAGAAACCATGGTCACTTTCTTGCCACTATTCCTGTTTCATGTGATATATTGTTCATAAATTTATCCGTTTGCTAATCACATTCACCATGACATTAAAATGAAGGGATCAGAAAACTAAAACTGAATTATTCAACTACAAAGCTTAAAACCTAAGCTGACAAATGTAAGCTACAGTAGAAACAGAGCCTTCCAGTCTTTATTACAAAACTATCCAGTGAATGCCTCCCTGTCTATATAAATAACTCTCAAGGATTTTATTATAAATAATTAAGTAAAATAACTGTCACCACAGGGAAGAATGAACTTACCAAGATGCAGTGCAGATACAACAAATCCACCTACATGCAACCAGCAAACAATATAACAGCAACCAAAGTGATTTCTGTATTTGACTGAATATAATACATATATTTTTTCTTCATTTTTAAGCTTTCTGAATAATTGGGATAAACATTATATTCAAGCCAATACAGTACATAGGCAGCAAAGAAATAATGCAGCAGCAATTTTTGTATCATGAACTTTCTAAAGCTATTGCATCTTCTATTTGTGAGCTCTCTGTGTGAGGTGTGGCATTGAAGCTAAACTGTGTTTGTTCGCATTCTGTATACCTCAAAAAATTCCAGCTCTTTGCCCACATCTTCCGCCAACTGGGAACAGCAATAAGATTGTGTTGTTGATTTAACTACTAACACTTTCACAACAAAAGGGCAAACTTCAGAGGGACATACACTGTGCTTAGTATGTTTTCACTTCATCCTAACATTTGACAGAAAACCTCATGTATGAAGATTGTTAAGTGATAATAGATTGCACTGGACTGCTATTTAAGGCAAAGCCATATTCAGGGGATGCAGGGTTTATATGGCATGCACCTGTATATATATATAATGGGGGTATATAAACCCCATAGCTCAGGCAATTAGACACTAGCCTTCCACTGTGGATATTCAGATTAAATTTTAGGGAAATCCATTTGTAATTTCTAGCATGAAAAGAAGTTGAGTTTAAATTCTTGTCAGTTAATAACATTGTGACAGCACCAGCAAAGACATTTTCTTCCATATATTATTCCACATTAAGAAAAGAACAGATATAACTTCTGACTTAATGAAAGTACTGAAATAATGCAAACAATTTTCCTTTATTAGTTAATTTTTGTTCCTATTGAGAATATTCTCAGCTATCTATATAGTCACATTAATAATTTATTTCATATAAAGAATTGTTGAAATGGGATTAAGTAAAATCTTGGTGCAAAAAGTGGTACTGGGAAACGATCTTCTCAGGTACTTTGAACACCCAGGCAGCTGTCCAGTGAGCACTGTAGGCGCCTTCATGTGGTAAAGAGGCGAGACCACTGACCTCAGTGCTGAGGTGTAGTATGTAGGATGCATTACCTCTTCCCCTTTTTCACACTATGAAACAATGTTCAGGCACAATGGCAACTTTACCTACATTACCACAAGAAGACAAGAAATGTAATGGATGAAGTGAGCACAGACAAGATGGACTGATGAATATATTTTTGCACAACAGAAAAAATAAGACCTTCACATTCAAAATTTGGGTCAGGGGTACATAAAACATCAACAAGGCATACATATAACACTGTTAAAATAAGATTCAATATAAATTTGAACAACTTGTAGAATGTAATATAGACCTTCCCTGAAAACAACACACCAATATAAATCCTGAGGTAGGTGTTCTTGCATTATTTTTACTTTCAAAAGCAGTATTTCTTTTTAAGGACATGGTTTGTCTCTTCAAAGAATTAGTGCATATCACTGTAAGTCTAATACAATTAACACCATGTTGCATGTATTGTTCTTTGCTTGTATAAATACTGATTTAATAGAGTTTTATATCAGTCACAGCAGAGCTTTTAAACTTTCAAAACTACTAAACACAAATTTCCTTTATATTTCATTTAATTAAGAGTTTTGATAGTTTCCTGGATAAGCAAATACATGACATATTGTATGAAATAGGTATTTAATAGGAAATATTTGAAATACTACTTGAATGTATGATATAAATTGACAGATTGAAACTTGAAAAGAGTGAAGAAAAAAAGATTGCATATTGTAGAGAATGTAGCATTACTAATAATTTAATTCATGTTGCCGTGGTATACCTACAATTCTTAACAGAGTATAATCAAATATCAGATGAGATATAGCTGAAAATATTTCCCAGAATTTGAAGCAGTTATTATTTAACGTGAGATTCTTTAAAATCTTTAACTCAGTATAAATCACATTAAGGTACCTACCATCTTCTCCAACTGCTTGTATATAACACTAAAATAAGGAACACCATTTGTCCTGCAAGCATAACCAAAAGAGAATAAGAGTCAAGAGTTGTTTAATGCAAATGTAAATACTTCTGCTACACAATATACTACGTACTGGTAGGAACAGGGACTTTGCTGCCATAATTCTTTAGCATTATATTACCTACGATTACTATCATAGCTCCTATAGTTATACATCTGCCTTAGAGAGACTAAGGTTGCACCCTCTAAGTCTGCGTAGACATCTTCTTGATGCACTCTTCTTCATTCAGGTTTATCGTGGCCTTAAATCCTGCTCCTCCCTTCTGGATATTGCTAGTCTTCATGTTCCTACTTGCCATCTTCAAGACTTCTCTACTTTTAGCGTTTGTCCCTCAAAAAGGCACTGTCCCTCTTCTCGGTGTGCCCTTGCTACCAATGTGGTGGGTAAAGATCTCGACATATTTGCAGATGGAGCGGTTTCTCTGAATCATATTTTACAAGCATGTACCAAACCTTTTACAGTGTTATTGGATTAGTGTTTCATTAACTACAAATGTGTATACCTTTAATTTTAATTTTAACTTTAATTTTCTTATGTAATTGGTATTAATTTATTAGACTTGTTATTAATTTTATGCTATCACTCCCAGTTGTCTTATCTTAGTATCTAGTTGCTAATAGTATTAGCAACATTCATAGTAATTCATAATTCCTAATGTATGTATACGAGTTCGTATATTTAAGTCTTCTTTAGATTTATGTTCACAGATTTATTTGTCATATTTGTATTTTGTTTAATTATTTTTCTGTACCTTTATATACTCGTGCTAACTTTGTAATTGGCCACTGTGCTGTTAAGTTATTGCATGTAAATAACATGAATTGAACTGAATTACTTAAAAAACAATGAAGAAACTCGCTGATCTATCACACACATTCAATTACAGTAACCTCTCAGAATTATCAACCAAAAGGCAAATATTTCAAACAGAAATTATTATTTTCGTAAACGTATTCATGAAGAAAGTTACAATGCACACATGTTCACATCATCTAGTAGTTCTCTCAGCCACCATCAGATGCACTACAAATCATTCTCCCTCATACAACTGCTATTACAGCAGGAGATAATTGAATTTGTGATCACATTACAGCATACATGTATATATACAATCTTTTATTTATTAATCCACTATGTCAACTAGGATGACTCTCACGGAAGAACTGAAGCGCAATTGTTTTGACTATGTATTGGTTTCCTGTAAGAGTTCCTCTCCTGTGACTGGCAGATTCAGGTAGCCAGGAGACCTCATCCCCCCCACATGACAGATAACAGTGGATTACTACGCTAAGAGCGTTTGATTAACCCTTTTATTATCAGAACACAACTCCTTTTTCCCAGCCTGATTTTACTTACGTTTCAAACAGAGTGTTGTAATAATCCAGTCCTTTCTGCAGATCAACCAATAGGAGAGTGATGAGGTGAATAAGTCCTTGGATTACCACATCACAGTTCCTCGACACTGACAAGTGCTGCCCACTGTGGATTTCTTCATACCTACAAGAAGTGTAATGTTTCAATTAACAGTTAAATGTTTTAAAAGAGAAAACAAGGTAAACTTGGTTGTTTTGTTCTTGTTTGATTTATAGCTTAGGCATTTAAGAGTGAATAATATATTTTAATTATAGATTATAGAAAAAAATAAAATTTGAAAATTATATTTTCAAACTAATCCATACATGTAGAAGAATCATGTTGCTTTTCTATTGAATCTTGTATTGAACTCAGAAAAACAACAAACAAATCACTAAGGAAAACAAGTTAATATACAAAGGTGAGATAAAAAGTAGTGGCAACACCTCTATACTTCTGAAATGACTTTATTACCTGAGGTAAACACACATTCCTTCAATATAATCGTCCCCCATGTGTACTACCTTCTGCCAAATTTGCGGAAGGCGTCGTACAGCATTGGCGTGTTCACTTCTGTTGATGTCCAGCACTGACCGCCCTACAGCACAAATAATCTCCTCTCTTGTGTTGTAACGTGTCCCTTGCAGTGATTCTTTCATTTAGGCAAAGAGATCATCATCGCCCGGACTCATATCGGGTGAGTATTGCGGATGTTGCAGCATCTCCCATCGCCAGCGGTGAAGGAGATCCTTGACAGTGTCAGCAGTGTGAGCCCTTGCATTGTCATGAAGGATGATGGGGTTCATTGCCAACAAGTGTCATCGCTTTCTCCTGAGTGCTGGACGAAGATGATTACGCAGGAAATTTCAGTAGTAGGCAGCATTTACTGTCTGTCATTGAGGTAGAGTGTGGTGCAGTATCACTCCATCAGTGTCATATGCCATAATGAACATCGCCTTCACATTACTCTGTGTAGGGCGCACTTTCTTTGGACGAGGAGAGCCAGGATGCTTCCATTCATTTGATTGTCGCTTCAAGTGCGGTTCGTATGAGCGAGCCCAAGTTTCGTCCAGAGTGACGATCCTTCCAAGGAAGTCGTCACCTTCCCTCTGGTACTGGTTAAACAAGGCCTGTGCAACTGCATAACGTTGCCATTGTTGCACCTCGGACATTGTATGGGGTACCCAACGCGCTGCAATTTTGCGGTATCCAAGAATATCGTGCAGAATGTGGAGCACGGTCATGTGAAATACGCCTACCTCAGCAGCTAACTCCTGAGCAGCCTATCGACCATCGACATCCAGCAAAGAAGCAAGAAGCTGAATTGTGGGATTATCAACATGGGGACGTCCTGAATGGCATCCCTCCCTTCACAGAAAAATTTTAACCATCGTGCCACTGTGCGATATGGCAAAGCAGCATCACCACATGCTTTTAGCAGTCCCCGATAACAGTTTTATGCACTACAACCTTGTGCAACTTCAATTTTTATTCAGGAGCATTGTCCTTGTTTCGTGAACATGTTGTTAGGGTGCTTGAACTGGGCTCCTACACTTCAAGATGCACAATGCAACTCAATGAAACATAACCAAAGCCACTCACTGCACTAGCTCAACTGAACTTCTGCTATCAGCTACAGAAAGCTCTAGTGTCATCTAACGCACATCTTTCATGCTAAAGCACTGTTGCCACTACTTTTTATCCACTCCTTGTATAATAGGTTTTTAAGGTTTCTTTGCAAGGAATATATAAGTGGCAGTCAAATCAAAACAGATCACCATGCATAACTCACACGGCGCGCAAGTTGGTAACACTGAAATTTGCTCACGGTACGAGCATCTGGTGGGGACTCAGGAAAGCACAGCGACGGCGTGCCCGTGCACAGTAGTCGTTTGTTTATTGTGCTGGAATTAAGGTTAGCGCTACGTTTGGAAGCTTAGGGAAAGAAAGATATACACACACTGCTTTAGGTGGAATGAAAATAGAACCGGGATGGTTTTCCCCTTTTAATTCATAGGCATTTACTGCCAAAGAAGTAACGGGATGCTTTTAAGCCATTTAGAAAAGAACCGGGATACCATCCCGCCGCATCCCGCCCCACCTCAAGCCTTGTATATACAAAATATTCATAATAACTATTACATTATTGTTAAAAAGGATTCTTCTATCCTGAATATTCTGGGGAAATCAGTGAGAAGAATTTTAAAAGGCTGAAACTTAAGTGTGTAAGCGAAATTTCTACCTTACTTACTTACTTATTTACTTACTTACTTACTTACTTCCTCACTCATGGAGCTGAGCCCTTCTTCAGGAGCCGCCAATTCTGCAGCTACTCAAGAATTTCCCAGCATATTATGGAACCCGAAGGTTCATTGCCGTGTTCACAAGAGATCTCCAATGGTTTCTATTCTAAGGCATATCAATCCAATCCATGCCATCCTATCCTATCTCTCTAAGATCCGTTTTAATGTTGTCCTCTCACCTACGCCTTGGTCTTCCTAATGGTCTCTTTCATTCTGGCTCCCCCACCACTATCCTATATGCGTTCCTCCTCTCCCCATTTGTGCTGCAAGTCCTGCCTATCTAATCCTCCTTAACTTAATCATTCTAATTATACTTGGAGAGGAGTACAAGTTATGAAGCTCCTCATTGTGCAGTTTTCTCCAACCTCCTGTCACTTCAACCCTCTTCGGTAATTTCTACCTACCACTCCTAGAAAAATGTCCCCCCCACGAAAAATTTCCTGGTACGACAGTAGAAACAGTGCTTGGCCAAGCCTACACCATTCTGAACATTTTCATACTCACTATTAAGCTCAACATTTTAAAGAGCGTCATTAAATCGCCTGCCAATCAGCATAATGGTGCGGAAGAGATAGGATGGGTAACACCACAAAGCCTGCCCTAACTCTGAGAAAAGTCACAGCTATTAGGACTATCCAGGAAGGGGCTGAAGAATGGAAGGGCATTCAAAAGCTGAAGTTCTGTTGAGCGATTATAGACTCAACATATATTTTGTACCCGTCCATTTTAACTTTTCCTTAAAACTCAATTTGTGGAGGCTTTGTCTGTTTCATTTCCCCTTGACATATCATGAGCTCTCTCTTTAGAATACAAAAGAGAAAGCATCTTAGTTTAGGAGTAAAGTATTTCCAGCCGCATTTCATGAAACCCCTCTCATCAGCTCTCGAGATATCTCGAACGTAAAGAGAGATGGTGCGATTTTAATAGGTATTCTACGTTATTACGACCCTAAAAATATTTGGAGTAAAAGGTAAAGTTGCTCCTGTACTTAATTAATTAGGCAAGTAAACATTATGCCATGAAGACGTATGGGGGAGTGGAAGTGTAACTCCACCGTTCTTGACCTCGGCATTAGATGGAGCTGAATGGTTAGCTTTACGCCCCTGCAGCTTTACCCCAGGAAAGAGCCCCCAGTACCTTTTTGATAGGAGGCTGATCTTGACAACATGGAAAAGAGAAAAATCTTGTCCCTGTAAGGAACCGGAACCTTCCCATCCAGCCGTAGTCTGCCGCTATACCGACTGAGCTATCGGTGCTCCTTATTAGGAGTAAGGATTAGAACTGTACAGAAAAATTCTACTGCAACAATTGTACACTTCTTTACCATACCACTGGCAAGAGTACTGAATAAAACTCATAATATTGAATGTTCTCTGCTTGGTCCGCGCGGTAGGAAACAGAAATACGCTCTTATACATCCATATTAAGTTTCTTAACAATAACTAAGAATACAAACTAAATTTTCGTGATTTTGAGCATCTCAAAATCCATTTTTACTTAAAAAACACAAACTTCGTAAAATGTCCGGCTTCTAAAATCGTAAGGCCCCTGGAGAACGTTTGGTTGGCCTGTGCTGTCGCCCTGACCATGGCTTTCACGGCACCTTAAATTTAATTAACAAATCATATGGTGGAATCCGTCACCTAGCTGTGGCTGGAAACAATTCTTCCATCACGGACCCTGGACCAGGCTGTGTATGCTTACTTACTTACTCATGGAGCTGAGCCCTTCTTGAGGCGCCCTCAATTCTGCAGCTACTCAAGAATTTCCCAGCATTTTATGGAACCCGAAGGTCATTACCGTATTCACAAAAGCCCTCCACTGGTCACTATCCTGAGCCAGATCAATCCAATCAATACCATCCCATCCTATCTCTCTAAGACCCATTTT